TATTTTAGAAGATGCTATGTTCTTTATAATAAGATAAATTAATTCCATCATTCCCATAATCCGATTCACATATATAATAGAAGAATGTAATTTAATTCCATTCTTCAGAGGTATACAAGGTCTTTTTTTTTCCAGAAAAAGGTTTTAAAATAATACTGTGTCCCACTAACATTACCTGAGCAAACAGAGCTATCTCTGAACCTCTGGGTGCCATGGCATGGAGAGATCACTCAGAAGTTAACTGGGCTTCTGTATATGAATTGGGAATACAATCTTATCAAGAAGAAAGATAAGACATAATAAGAGACTATAAGTGCCAGGAAAATAAGCTTGATGGAAAAGAAGTGAAAAAACTTTTCCATGCTGAGGACACAAAAAGTCTTTAAAAAACTTTTACTGAGCATAACACGTTAAATATATCCAAAATGTTGTCCAACAATAACATGACCATGGATCATGTAAAATGATGACATTAAACGGTCTTTTATCTATAAATTAGGCAATTTATGATGTCAGTCTTGCAGAGAAACTATTGGGGTTTTACGTTCTCAGTGGATTTTAGATTTTTAACTCGAAAGGGATTTCTTAGTAAGATAGTTCCTCATCTCTGGCTAGCTCATACAAGCCTTAGGAATACAGCGTTACGTAACTTGTCTCTCCTCATATCAAAAACCTACAAAATAAAACAAACTTTGCCTGCATACCTTAAAAACATTTTTTCTTGAATTTCCATTTTGTTTTGAAAAATAGATTTCACTTAGAAGACGCTGGCTGCCAAAAAGTGGTTACAACTGACCTATGCATGTCATGGTCATACTGAGATGTACCAAAACATGAACTCTGTACACTGGCAAATTTCAGACTATCCCCATTTCTATTCTGACAACAGATTACAGCCAACTGTTTAAATGTTTACAGGTGAGAAAAAGTTTCATTGACTTAGGTTGACAGGTTGATATTAGTTTGACACAAATTTTTGTATTTGCCTTCATCTTTTCTATGTGTAGTGTTTATGCAGCCCTTCACCACTACATGAATCTTTCCTTCTTTATAGGATCATATTATGGCTCTAGAAAACCCAATCTGATAACTACTTGTTCCCCAAACTAAGGAGAGGAAGTAAAAACCAGAGAGAACTGAAGCAATCAGTTAAACTGTCCCATGGTTCTGCTAGAACAAAGAAACTGTGCTCATAAATCACATCCTCTGATAAAAAAAAAAAACCACCATACAGACTACTTGTGAGCTTCCAAATCTGTATGGAACAAGGACCTCCTGCAGCATGGACAGCTCATAAACCGGGATCTGTTTTGGCTTGGCCTATACTCTGTTTGGTCCACAGTCACCTCTACTGTTCTGCACATGCAAGGATCTGTATCTGTTTCCACAAAAGCAGATCCTTCTAAACAGCCTCTGTGCTTACCAATATTATCTACAAAGAGCAGGTACAGTGAAGTCTGCCAGGTCTGTTCAATCTCCTTCAACTTAGGAATGGTGAAAACATCTCATGTGTTCTCTGGACAAAAGACTCCCATCAACAGCTTATTGATCAATAAGGAAAACTGACCTCTACCTTGACAAGCTCTTCAGTTGCTTTCTTGTCCCCAGCCTGCAAAAGAGGGCATCAAAAGGAGCAGACTCACAGCCACACCATAGCATACGCAGGGATATTTAAAAACAACATTTGTGAACGCAAGAATGTTTCCATTTTCCATTTTCTGGATCGCTTACAACTTTTGAGCTGGTGATGCAAAGCCATTATTAACAACCTACCCGACATAACAGGAGTGAATGGCCTAGAAAACCAGTGGCTTCAACCATCCCTGCTTCCAAGAATCCAGGCATGACTGGTAGTAGCTCTTTCTCATTCAGAGCTCTCACAGGTGCAGTCTGTTGTATTGCAAAGACAAACGTGAACTGCTGCTTCCTCCTTGGTCTCTGTGAGTCTGCCATGAAAAGAAGATCTCTTCTGGCATTTAACAAGTCTGCATTTTTTAAATGTGCCCAGATTTCGAGTGAACACCCTGTACCTACCAATGGGAAAGTTTTAACTGGGTTTAGCAGTTATTCCTTTTGGAGATCTGCCTCAAGGTAAATAAATGCAACGTCTATACCATGGGACCCAGAGCATATCCCATCTATGTCCTGACTGTGTATTAGGATGAGACCAGGGACCTATGTTTGCACTCTGGTTTCCAAAGAAAGGAAATCTCGGCATGTCAGCCAGCAGGGAGGCACCATATGCTCCCACAGGACCTCCTCAGATCAGGACTCCAAGCCACAGTGTGGCACATGCCTGTGGTCTACACTGAGCTACACCAATGACAGAGGCCAAAGCCTCACAGAGAGAACAAAATATGAAATGTCATCTGAAATAAAGAAGTCTTTCTAGTTGCCCATAATCTCATTCCCAATGTTGCCACTGCACAACTGAAAATACCAACTGAAAATACAACTGAAAATAGCGCTGGATTTTCACCACCAGGTTCTCACAGCAAACACTTCTGACATTGCCTTAACCTTGAAACCAGGACTGGGTGAGGCTGAATCCTCTCCAACAACTGCTTGCCCAATTCTGTTAAACCAAGCCAGCAGACTCATAGGATAAACACGCAAATGAGCAAGTAATGTAAAACAGTCATTATTTACAGCAACGCGCCATTGCAAAGCCTCTTTATCTTGAGCAACACTCACAATTCCTGCACCATTTTCAGTTTCAGTTTCCTAGAAAAGCCTGAAATCGTGTTGGAACACCATAAATGGCAGCAATGACAGATTTTGCACTGTGGTTGTTTAGCTAATCCGTTGATAAGCAGCAAAACAAAACTCCCTAAACAGCAAGAAAATGAAATCTCCAAGAAAGAACTCATATGGATAATCAGCAAAAAGTCTGTTCCCAGACTGACATCCACCAGCAAAGATTGTGGAGCCAAACTCGTCACTGTGAGTAGATACTCTGACCCAGACAGGAGGTCTGGTGCAAAGCAGGGCCGACCTGTATCAGCAGAGAACTTGCTGATAAGAAGCAGCCACACCGTACAGCTTTACAGACAGAACTTTCCAGCTGGTCTGTACCAAATTTGCTTCACTTTAAAAAATACTTCAGTTTAAAAAACGGATTTTGAAATATTTCCCATGGCATGGATCTGGAAGCCAAAGAGGGATTTTGAAGAACCATCACAGACGATAAAGCTGGAAAGAACATTTATAGGATCATCCTGTAAGGCAGTGCCATTCCCCTCTGTGTGGGTCAGGGTTGGCACACCAACAGTGACATAGGGGCATTCGCTTTCCTGAAATGTGCATTTATCTGTACTTACCTATATTTATATGCAAGTGTGAATACGTTTTTTCAGAAAGAAAAGGAGCTAAATACATGGTTTATAGTAGTATCTGCTAATCACGTAAAAAGCCTCTAGAAACGTAAAAGCAAGACGAGTGACAGCCGCTGGTTTTGCTCCACACTGGGGCTCAGTGCTCTGTCCCTACACTGGCCTGTGCCCACCGGGGTCACGCCAGGGATCAGCACAGGGATTCCCTGCCCGGGAACCCACTCGCGGGGGAACCCTTGGGAAGGTCCCTCGGCCTCGCACAGCCCACCC